CAGCAGCGGGACAGTCCCGCTGCTGTCGCGGTGTTTGAGGCCACTGTGAATGGGGTATTAGTAAGCATCATAGCTATATATTTTAATGCAGGCGCGTAGGTAGGATCTTATTTAAGGGAGGGGCGGTATTGAGCAAGCAAGCGAATCGCTTAAACAGCACGCAAAGCGCTCCCTAGGTGGGGTAAGGGGTGGGTGAAAAGCCTCCCGCGCGAAGCGCGGTAGCTTAGACGTTTCATTAAATTATTATGAAAATAAGACGATTTGTTGTATACCGTTCTCTACTCTTAACCCTAATTGTCTGAATTCAGTTTTCCCCCTCTCGCGCGAAGCGCGGGAGCTTCGACGTTTCATTAAATTATTTGAAAAAGAAGACGATTCATTGTACCGACTCTACATCATTGTCTGAATTTTCAAAAATGTTTCTTTGTCCGATAAAAAGTGACAGTTCGAAGGGAAAAAAATTGCTGGCCGACCGACATAAAAAAAAATCCCACCGGCTTCAACCTCACACCCCCCCCCCCCCCCCCCTTTAGCGACGCCCCTGAATGTAGGGTGGCCTGAGCGGGTAGGCACAGGGCGTGGTTCTAAACTTACAGTGACACTTCGATAAAGACACCCTTATTTCATGATTGCGTGTGTTGAACTGCCCTGGGCTTTACAACTTTAAACCTCCAGGGTTTATTTTGCATATATAGGTATTTACATGTTTATTTATATAATAAAAGGAAATCATGAATATTCAAATATCATAGGTAGCAAATAAAGGATGACTAACAGAGGAATGACAACAAACAGATAGGAGAGGATGATCAAGCATAATGATGTGCACCAATCTATAAATGTGAATTACTAAGTAGCCTGTTCAAACTACAGCTCTACAGTAACAAAGTATTTGTAGCCTTAATTTTAAGCAGTTAAAGAAATTAATAAAAGTAGGCCTACTTGAAGAAATCGTTGAATTGTAAGATATTCAGTTTATTTTTATTAAGTAAGACAAAGTACTAGGTGTTAAAATAACACACATATAACACCTTTGGAAAAAATAATACCCCAGGAACGTGAAAAAAAAACTTTTATTGTAATGCCTATAAACGGACATATTTAAAAACTGAAATGTGGCACCACCCAAAAAATATAATTCTGAGATCCTCCTTTGTCTTTAATTTGCACCTGGAAATAAATTCTTTGTTCCTCGTCTATGTCATCGCGGCGAAAAATTTCAGACTTTTCTTCTTTTGAGGTGCACATGCAGGCTCAGACAAATGTGCCAAAGAAGTTTTGTCTTCTTGTGTTCCTGGAAACAAAGTTTTGGGCAAACTATAGTCCAGTTTATCTGTACGAGATTTATATAAATTATGAGTAATATTAAGCTTTGGTTGAGCTTTCTTTGGGTCATTGTACTTATCAGATAAGTTTTGATCCCTTTCAAGACAGAGAATGTTCTCTCGCAAGTTGTCGTTGTAACCGGGATGGTAAGGTAAATGAGAAGAAGAATGTGTACCTCTGAGAATGATCTCTTATAGATTGGACTGTTGTTGAAAATTTCACAGATTGTTTTAATGTATTTGATAGGTTTCCTCTCATCGTCATACACGTCTTGGAGGTTTGTTAGCTGCCGAGTTAATGCTACAAAGTCAATATCTTCGGCATACACTTCCCTCAACTCATCAGCACGAACAAAATATTTGGGAGGGGGGAGGGGGGGGGGGGCTCATGATAACCGAGCCCGGCCGAAATATTGGGGGGGGGGGGGGGCTCAATGATATCTGAGCCCCCGGTATATATTTTTTTTGTTGGGGGGGGGGGGCGGTGCCCCCAAGCACCCCCGGTTCCTAAGCCTATGTACAGGTCAATTAAGTCTACGTTTTGAAACTTAAAGGGATTGGGTGACTTTGTCTCAGGTTCTGAAACAAAATCCTGGAATGATAGTTAGGGCTATCTGATCGGAAAACGACCCAAATATCGGAGTATGGCTAGCTGCCCCAGGGCCTTGTCCTATATACGGATCAGGGAAAAAAAATACTTTAAACATTTCGGGGGCTACTTTTATGACTTTCGGGGGCTCTTTTTGGCATTTCGGGGGGTGATTCACCCCGAGCCCCCGTGTATTTTTCCCCTGATACGGATAAGTGAGCGCCTTGATTGGTCCACTTCTAACTCGTGTTTTTAGCCCTTCTTTCTTTCCTTTTTCCTTTCCTTTCTTTTTTTTTAAAGAGGGGGGGGGCGGGTCCATCGCCCCCCGTATGTCCGCGCCTGAGTGACACCCACATAAACTAACCTTATTTATTACCGAACAAAAATAAAGAAAGAGCCCCTCGACACCATGGGTCTAAGTAATCAGCCAGTTGCTACCCCCCCCCCCCACCAAAATAAACTTTAAAAGTGATTTTTTCTTTTGTTTTAATTTGATACCAGTGATTTACAAATGCTGCTGAAACGGCCTAATTTTCCGGGATTTTCCACACTTCTTAGTAAATTGTACTTTTTATGCGTTTGTGGGAGAATGACAAATATCAAGCTCAAGCCCCCCCCCCCCCCCCCCCCCCACTTTTGAAAAAGTATATTAAAGAGAATTAAATAGCAAGAAATAGAAAAGAAAGTATGCTCATGTGACCGTAATTAAATGCCCATACCCCTTAGCTTCCGGGAGCTCTGCCCCCTGGACCCCACTTTGGGACCTAAGGCTGGCCCCTGGATGCTAATCTGACCTTAATTTTAATGCCTAAAACCCCTGCGCTTCCGGGGACTTCGCCCCTTGGACCATACGCCAATTAGTGACCTAGCTGCCAGTGTCATGAATAAGGTATTAAAATATGCTCATCTGACTGTAATTAAATGCCCCTACCCCCTGAGCATCCGCCAATTTGTGCTACGCTCTACCTTATCTTAAATACTCTAGCATCCCCCACTCTCTTTCAACCCCATTTTTAATCACTTTTATTTCCCATTTAACTCCTTTATTAAACCTCGAAACGCCCCCCAAATACTTGGAGCGGGGCCTCTATGACGAGTATATACTAGTAGTGAGTTGGTTGATGTACGAAGCCACGTACAAAAGTATAATCGATTACAACAGTAGTGGGGCCGATATCACGAGTATGCCTTCATAAAATAAAGGTTCTAAAGAAAATATTCACTTCTACTTTCAAAAGGACTGGCCCATTTGCTTTAAACAAATTGTAGAATTATTATTATGTAATTTCTAGAAAAACAATGGGGGGGACAAAATGTGCGGAAAGCAAACCGCACGGATCGTCCCTCGGACGATCCGTGCGAGCAGAAAACCCGCATATTATGTCCGACGGACAAACGAAACTGGTAGGACAAACGGCGCGGTCACAAGGTCTCCTTGAGTATACCTGACATGAGTAAAGGAGTGATTAGTACGCTGACATTTCATAACTTGAATGATATGTTCAAAAAGGTCTTTTAATCTATTAAGTGAACTGCCGAACTGTCTATAGGCCTAAAGTAACAACACAATCATACAAATATCGTTGACATCAGAAAGAAATTTAGGGCTAGACCAACTTTATTCTTAGTTAGATGTAAAATTACATGTGTACATTATTGTTGTCTGTAGATCGCATTATATTCCATATTAGTGAAGTTGGCTGACTTTTATATACCAGTCAATTTACCAATCGATTAAACAAAATTAAGACTTGCCTGGTCTATATGCATTATTTTAATAGACCTATTTATTTAATTATAGCATGAATCACGTTAACTCTTCCTTTCTCTTGCTGTTTTCTCATCTTGCCATTTAACTCTCTACTCACTCTCTCTCTCTCTCTCTCTTTCTCTCTTTCTCTCTCTCTTTCTTTCTCCCCTATGGTCCACGAAAATTGGTACATTGCATAATTATATTTATCACTATAATAGGCAAAGTGAATCATGGAATACACACAAGATGTATGTAACAATGAGAAACACAATATTAGGCAAAACAATTAATGAATATTTTTTGTGAAGATGATAATTGTGTATAGCAAAATAACATAATTTAGGCTGGGCAGAAAGCATATAAACCTGCAACTTTATTGTAATAACATGGTACGTTACATTTTGTATTATTCTGAAAAATTATATATCAATTAAACATTGGAGGCTCTCTCTTATATAACTTTATTACATTATTGTATGAGCATACATTCCCGTCATTAGGTGCTTTGAGTATTCATGCGATGGGATATATTGCGAAAAGAATAGTCAAACAGGATGTAAGAGAGAAAGAGAGAGAGTGAGAGAGAGAGGGTAAGCACTATTTTTTTTTTTGGGGGGGGGGCCGTCGAAAATATTTTTAACCCCCCCCCCCCCCCCCCACCCGACCTCTGAGCCGATTTATTTCTTCTCAAAGGAAGCTTGAAGTTCCTTGAAACTTACTATGATAAACCATAATTATGATTATTTACATCCAGCTCGATCATTAAGATTTAACAAGGGGTGATGCTAGCTATAGCAAATTCTTCCAAGTTTCGGATCCAGATCGTAATAGTGTGCTGTGCAGTGTTTCCACTAACTTGTCAACCGTCTTTCTTGGAATAGAACATCAAATTTCCTTTAAAAACTTGACCTTTGAGTGCGATTTGTTTTTTGTTGTTGTTGTTTGCACCAGAATTTAAACTTTAAGCTTCCAATTTTGCGAGAGAGCAAGCCAACAAGTTATGATAAGAGGTAAATGGGTAAAACTATATACGCTTCTAAAGTTTATAAACAAAAAGATAAAAGAGAAGTTTTCACCTTTTCAGTAGGTCTATTCCGTAAATTCCTTTGGCTTTGGATTTTTCTTGAATTTCCTGAAAATCTATGAATCATTTAATCTCCAGATGATTTCATTGACAAAGCATAAATTTCCTAATATTTCCTGAACTTCGGGAAAACCTGGAAAACTGTGACCTATATTTTTCCACGTCGAGTGGGGTTTGGCGATACATTGCAGCACCATTTTGTTATAGTGCTAGTGAGCCCTCTCCGTGAAAAACATTACATTATTTTGGCATTTAATTTGGTCACTGAGCCATGATGAAGATAAACTCCACGTATAAATGCATCGCATTTGACTCGTGAAAAGGCTGTAATACTATAATTAATGGAGCATTAGACTCTAGGCCTATATTTACACGTATTTGATAAAAGGTGAGTTTTCAATTGTTATTTTTATCCAAACACAATTTAGACAAGTAGTTTTACTGAACTGTGAGAGGGTTTTCGTTTCCGTAATTTTTGTTGTGTAGTCCCACGTATTATGATATGCGTATGTTTTTAATGTTTCATTTATGTTCGAAAGAAGATCAGTTGAAGATGGCGAAGTAGAAAGAGGAGGGGCTAGGGGGATCTGCTAGCTGGAGGAGGAGGAGGAGAAAGAGGAGGAAAGAAATTACAAAATGTAGAAACCAGAAATCATTTAGAAAAGAGTAATAAAAGTAGAATTGATCACAAACAACTCCAACATTTGGTCTTTTTCAGTTTTTGGTCTGAGAATAAAATGTAAATCAGAAAATGTCAGTAGAGTCTACAATGAATTAGACCTAGATCTAGACCTATTAGCTTTTGCTTGATGTCTGCCCGACTTGCATGTCTGATTACCAGACATAGGGACCAGGCATGCAGTCAGGTAGTAGACTTCTAGATCGTCTTTGTAAAAATAAGGATCATCCGCATGTTCACAGAAGTTTCATATTTCCGATGCAGACAACTCGCCACAAAGACAACCCGCCACAATACCCTGGACATCTCGCAACAATACCCTGGACAACTCGCCACAGGCGAGTTGTCCAGGGTGGGGTGCCTTTTCGGACAACTCGCCACACTTTTTTCCCCTCATGATTTCTAGATCTAAGATCCCTCATCTTCATGAACTTAGATGAAATTGTCATGTTATGTATTCATTATTCTATTATAAACACAGTCATGACGGGAAACATGGAAATTGTGAGTATTTTGAGAGCTATTCTAAAGAAGAAAGATGATTTTCCTTGCGCTTGCAACAAGACCCACAACAAGAATCTATTTTGGACTGTGCGAAACTAACCTAGAAAATCTAGAAATAAACCACATTTCAATTTTATTTCGCGGGTCAACTGCCCCCTCTCCCATCAGGATGCCAGTGCTTCCAGTACCCTTCCATGAATTCCTACCATTAAAAATTATCAGAAGAGAAAAGGAAATGTACAAAGGATAAAGGGGGCACTTTAGGGGAACCTGAAAAAATGGGGGCACAGTGTCCCCCCCCCCCATGAAGAATGCCGCCTCTGACGAAACTAACCCAGAAAATCTAGAAATAAATCACATTTCGATTTTATTTCGCGGGTCAAATAACCGCCCCCCCCCCCTATCAGTACGCCAGTGCTTCCAGTATCCTACCATTAAACAATTTCTGAGACAGAAAAATGCAGCTGCTATAGACCTCTAGATCTAAATACCGAGAAGTTATCCCAATGATCTGGCGATCGTACGCCTTTGGTTTGTCAAAAATATATTATTGTTGCAAGGGAAATCATCTTTATTCTTTATTCTTTGTAATGACTGTGTTTATAAAAGCACGAAAATCATGAAAAATGACAATTTCATCTAAGATGAGGGATAATAGATCTAGAAATCATGAGGGGAAAAAAGTGTGGCGAGTTGTTCGAAAAGGCACCCCACCCTGGCGAGATGTCCAGGGTATTGTGGCGGGTTGTCTTGGGGCGGGTTGTCTGGAATTCGTGTTTGGCGTCTTGGCGGTGTGAAAAAACAGATTCTGCAATAATTTCTTGATGCGTTTTACATTGACTTTGTACAGAGACTTTCACATCATGAGCGATAAATTCTCGGGAAGATGGACAACCCATAAAAGTAGACGGTGAACTGGTGTTGTTTTCTTACGTGGAATCTGTTTTTTGCATCGCCAGCCAGCAATTTGGGAACCCGAAACCCGCAAAGGGCTGATAAAAAAAAACATCAGCGAGGACGCAACTTGTCCATGTTTACAAGGATATCATCGTTTCTCGGACCAGCACCCTTACTGCTAAAATTATGTCTGGTTTAACATGCCATGAGAACAGATAAAATTGGGCCTCTTGTAGTCGCTGATAATGTCTGTAAAGTGCTTACACAGAAATTGTTGATGTAGCGGAATATTAGTCTATATTATATTATATTATTACTAGACTAATGATGTGTATTTATTTTTTGATAATATTTTTTGTCTTCAGCAAGTCTTCAAATAAAGTTTGGACCATGTCTTTCAGCATCATCAGCATCATGAAGTTGCCTTCACCCTCCCTCATTGTCTGTGCAATAATCCTCACAAATCTACCCTGGGACTGCTTAGCTCGGCCTGCTGTAATTCCAGATGACGGAAAACTGAAAATGGATGAGAATGGCGACGGTAAAAACATTCCAGGTGTACCCAATCCTGAATTATTTCCAAACAATCACATTGATGCTGTGAAGATGGAGAGAAATGGAGCGCTGAATAAAGATTTCCAACAGGAGCTGTTTTGGGGTCCAGCCCATGAGGAGATGACTGACGTACGGGAGGAGGAGGGCAGACTGCGGCTCATGGAAATATTTAAATTGTAAATATTTCTTTCATATTTTCATTTCATTTTGTATTAAAATGTGTAGCATTTTAACGTCAGGCTTAATTAAATGAAATCACCATTTTCCACATCCATCTACTGAATAGATCCAATTCAGTTATTTTATATATGGTGCTCTAGGCTTCTAAGAAGCACTGTTTCTGTCCTAAAACTCAACATTTATTATTTTCATATCTCATTTACTAATAATTATTCAATGAATCCATTATGATTGGCATGTACATGCAATTTGTATAAGTTATGACAAAGTTTTAAGACCAAATTTTGCCCCTCCCACAAAAAAAAAGAGAAAGAAAGATAAAAAGTTTACTCTCATTACATAATATGTCCTAATATTAATCAAATTTGTTGTTTTTCATTAAACCTTTCAAGGGCATAGTAGGGGGGGGGGGGGGTGGACTGTCCTCCCTCGCTGAAATCTTGCTATCACAAAGCCTAGTTTGTTGATACTGTTGAAATTCAGTTATGATTTTGAATTGACTTGTGCACACAACCTACATGTACATGTACAATGAAGCTCCGGCTGCCACTAAATCCTTTTTTTAGTAGGAATGATTCTATTTTGCCTTCTAAAAAGCCTGTCTGTACTAGCTTGGCCAGGGGGGATTAGACCATCCTGTAAGATCACTGACAGATGGTAGTCTCATCGAATCAGCTCTCAATTAACATAAGAAAAAGGGGATCATGGGGGACCAACAGGCACCGATTAGGCATTGTTTGCAATATAGAGGGTGCAAGTAGCTATAAGTAGTACAGTGGGGCTTAAAATAGAATGCTATCATTAATAATAATAATATTTAATTTTTATATAGCGCTTAATACAAATGTCTCTAAGCTCTTTACAAATATACTATTACCCCGGTCATTGGATTCAGTGCTTGCCCGCACACAATCTCCACTCCCTAGGGAGCATTCCAGCCAGGCGATACATGATACTCAAAAACTGTTTGTCCAACAATGACAGTCGCATCCTACCGGGTACCCATTTAACACCTGGGTGGAGAGTAGTAATTGCAGGTTAATATCTTGCCATTTTCGTTTGTCTTTCATCCAGGGCTGACAGAGACGAGGACAAGTTTCTAACGATGGATGAGCTTGCTGCCTGGATTGAGGAGAAGACAGCGGAACATTATTCTGAAGCTGTTTCATCCAGCCGTCAAGGGTTCCCACAAGTAGATACCAACAAAGACGGTAATTCATTTCTCTTTGGTTTCTACTAAAAATCAAGAATGCAGTACAGAGATTAATATTTCTTATATTTGTATGAACATACATTTATATGAGATAGCACCTCATGAAATTAAACATATGAATCAGATGAAGTTTTGCACGTCTTCTGTGAGAATTACCAGACTTGAAAGAAAGGGAAGTAAATAAGATGTATAGAGAAAAGTGAGTAGGAGAGAAAAAGAAAAAAAATGAAAGTAAGAGAAAAGGAATAAGAGAAAGGAAGAAAGAGAGAGAGAGAGAGAGATTATGAATGATGTAAAATTGAATACCGGTAACTTGTTTGAAACCATTCTTTCAATGTTTGTTCTTCTTTTTATTTCTCAGGGTATTTACAGTGGGATGAATACAGGGAGCAGTTCTTCAAGCATAGAGGTTTAGATGAAGAGAAGCTCAAAGCCTACAGGGAAGGCAAGCTCAGTATTGATGAGACATTAGAACGTGAGTATCAGTCACATAGTCAAGTGCCCTGTTTCACAAAGCCTTTTTTCAATAACAAAAGGCAAAAATCAATGACAAATCTGCTGATAACCAATCAGAAGCAAGGATTTCAGTAGCTTAAAACAAAAACTGTCAATTGTCATTGATGACAAGTTTTGTGAAATTGGGCCCAGGTCAGCCATTCCAAGTCACAAGGCTGTTGAAATGATAATAATACATTAAATAAGTTTTGTACATGTGATTCGGTCCCGGGCCAATAAGAGCCCACTGAAACATGGTCTTAAGGCCAGGTTGAATTTTTAAAAATGGTGATTATCTTTAGCAGAGGCTTGTAGTGGTGCCCCTGCTGGGTTCACTCTAATGTTCAAGTGGACCCTCTGTTGATGTTGATGCTTATTTGTATGTGACTGCTAAGACAGCAACTGTGTGCTTGTAGTCTATTGGCCTATAAACAGTCTTGTTCAGCTGGCAGGATATCAAATGTGAATGTAATATCTTGTTGCTAGGTAATCGGGCATAAATTTGAACACATTTTGAAAAATGTCTATTTATTTATTTATGCCCCTACAGAGGACTATGCCATGTATCGTGATCGATGGGACCGGGCGGATGAGGACAATGATAACTCTCTGAGCGTGGAGGAGTTCTTGGCCTTCCTTCATCCAGAGCACTGTAAGAGTATGCTTAGCATGCTGGTTGAGGAAGTCTTACATGATCTCAGTAAGTATGGCCAAAATAGATAATAATAATAATAATGATAGTTTGTTCTTATATGGCGCTTTTCTGGACCAAAGGCCCTCTCAAAGCGCTTTTACAGATATATACTATTACCCCGATCATCGGATTCCGGCTTACCTGCACACAATGTATACACATTCTCCACTCCCTGGGGAGCATTTCAGCCAGGTGTAGTTTTTACAAGGGCACACTTGCTAATATAAAGAAATTAGCTTTCGCATCCTACCCGGTACCCATTTAACACCTGGGTGGAGAGTGGCAAATGTAGATGTCTTGCCAAAGGACATAAGTGGCGCCGTGGGACTTGAACCGTGTCATACTGCATTGTAGCAGGGAATATGTGAAACTTATATGCAGTTTTATTTTCATGTTTGTATTTCAAATAAAAATCTATATGTCGCATTTTGGCAAAGAATATGTGAAAATGATGCCGTTTCAAATTCTTGCTTATCCTTCAGATCAAAATGATGATACTGCTCTGAACCTCCGGGAATTTCTCTCCCTTCCTGACGATGCACACTTGGACTTAGGTAAAGCAGCCAATGACGATGAATGGGTCAGGGAGAGGAAGAATGAGTTTGAAGAAAACATCGACTTGGATGGAGATGGGATAGCAACATTTGAAGAATTAGAAGTGAGTTTTACTTTTCCTTTTTTAAGCTAATATTATACACAAGTTATCACCTCAGTCACACCGCCAAACAGACTCCACACTGGTTCCAACCGCTTCCAACCGCCTTCAAACCAACTGAATCTTGGCCATTCAGTGTAATTAATATTTCTTTCTTGTTGATGTGACTGAGGTATATGGGCCAGTATCATGATTTTTTTTTTTTTAATTTCTGGATGAAAAGTATATTTTGAAACATATATTTCATGACTGCTCGTAACCACCAATAAGTCCTACAAAAGAACAAATAGGGAAAATTACTGACTTCTCTGAATAGATGTCATCAGTACTCCTCAAGTAAACTATTAGTGATGTATATTATCAGACGGCTTGGAAATTCTCCTTAATAAAAACAAACAACAACAGCAATTACCTCAGTCGTCAACAGGTTAAAATAAAACATAACAAACAAACAGAGACCTTTGGTTGCTCTGGAGCTCATAGATAGCTTATTGTTTGCCTATTATTATATTCTTGCTCTTCCAATGGAAGTATGTGTACAGGAGTACACTAAAAGTGGTGAATATTATCAAAAAGCTTGATTCTGAGTATATATTAATATTTCCATCATTACTTTTCTTTCTTTTTGTTGTTATTTCTCTATAACTTTATTGCTTGTAAAAATCCCAGGTCAAACTTTCATGTTATTTTATATTAATGAATAAACATAAATAAATTTCATCAAATAAAATATCTTAAACAGAAAATATCACTAAAATGACAGCAACTAAAGAAATAAATTCTGACAACTTTATTGTTGGTTCTGAACCTAACATAGCATATATTGAGGATGATGATGATTGTTTTATTTTACCTGACTGCTAAGAAATCATGTATATGCTTGTAAGTAAACAAACAGGGGACCGATGGCCTTAAGTCCTCTCCGAGGGACTTGGTAATGAGGATCAGTGCCTTGACTTGGCGTTGAAACCAGGACTTCCCGGTTGCGAGACCACTGCTCTACCACTGAGCCACCATGCTTCTTAGTGCATATATTTACTAGTTGTCTTTTGTGCTTTTCTACCAATCAGAAATACATGGACCCACGCAACAAGCAACATGCAGAGAGTGAAGCCAGACATCTGATGGGAGTGGCTGATATGGATGGAGATGGGAAGCTATCACCAAGGGAAGTCAGCAATAGTTACTTTGTTTTCTTGGGCAGTAAAGTCTACAACTATGCCAGAAACGTCCATGATGAGTTCTAGACCACCTCTAGGGTCCTGTTTCATCAAATCTGTTTCATAAAGTAGAGTAGACATTATTGGATTACTTGTTGAGCACAAGGCTCATCTGCCATATTCAAATCGCGTAAGTCCAGGTTATTTTCTCACATATTACCGGCCACATCTACTATTTTAGTTTATCTGATAACAATATGTGTAAAGCGTTTAAAGATGTTATCTCATATTAACTGTTTTATTTTTCAGATTTATTTATTTATTTATTATTATTTGATTTCAGGCCCTCCTAGAGCTTTGATCAAAACAAATATTAATTAAAATTATACTTTTTATGTCAGTTTATGTTCACGATACCATTATACTTGTTACAAGTATGATAGTATCGTGAACATAAACAGACATCAAAAGTATAATTTACCAAATATCTTGGACTTGCCCATTAACAGATCATAATTTTATATAACCTACTAAACTTGATGAACATGATTGGCTGCGGGCAAATTCTAATTAGAATATTGACCCTTGTTAATACATGAAACAGGGTCCTGCGTAGGCATTTACCATGCTGACTAGTTGAGCTTTGAGATAACAAAAAATAAGTGAAGATGTGCTTAATGAGGCCAAACAAGAATCAGGAGTACTATAGAATGAGAATAACTTGTTTGGATAGCTGGTCTTTCTGTACAGGTTTCACTATTAGATTTTGGATTATTGACCTTTGAGTCAAGATATAACCTCAGTAACACTGCCAAACCCACCCCAGACCAATTTCAACCAATCAACTTTGTGCTTTGGTCCTTTGTTGCTCCGGCGTTGGTCTCTCGGTGTGCCTGGTGTATCAACATTCACCAATGGGGGCCATTGCAACATGTTTGGTTGTTATATTGCCTGCAAAGAGCCAAAAGTACACGATTATCATATTCTGCTGGGAGTCTTAACCAAAAGTTGATGGATTATTAGAATTTAGGATCTCCTGATACAAAATCAACAAAGATTAAATACCATTTTGCTACAAATGGTGATGGCAAAATCGATAAATTAATTGAGGCAAGTAAACATTTATTAAAAAAATGAACAAGATCTAGGAATATTATATGGTAACAAGAGCAATAGAAGACCTGCAAGATTGTGTTACTATTCAGCATTTTTTTTGCCAAAACTTAGATCGTGCCCTTCTTGTTCTCAGCCGCAGAAAGTGCTTATAACTTGAAAAGACTTCCTATATGCTTCTTTATTTAAATTATCACTCGAACAAATAATGTATCAGTTATATCTGTTTAAAAACTTTAGATACAGATGAAAGATCTATATTGTATATATTATCTAAGTGGTGGAAGGATTTACAGAGGGAGGGAGAGAGAGAGAGAGAGAGAGAAAGAGATAGAGAGAGAGAGAGCACTACATGTATTTTTTATTTTGTATATACATGTAAAGCTGCTTTTGCATAACATTCATTTTGCCTTTACCTACAGTGTACTAACATACACATTGCATTTCCAAATGAAAAAAAGGAGTATTTTGATGAGTGCTTTGTTTCAGGTGAGATATACGGTAGTATTTTTCTTTTGTTTTCATTGTGCATTTCACCATTAAAAAATAAACACATGGTGGCATTAATTAAATTAGATATTTAACCAATATTACCCCCAAAGAATAATGATTTTTATTGATTCTGAATATTTACAGCTCCATTTTTATGAAAAGAAAACACTGTGGAGAGAAAAAAAAATCTAAATTGTTTGAAACTGGCTGCCAGCTGGCATAATATGGTGACTGCTCATGTTTGTCTCGCTCCTTTTGGAGAACTCGATCTTCCCTGCTAGATTTTGATATTCAGAAATGCTAATACAGCACATGTAGTATAAAGTGCAATAGTGCAAGTTGGTGGCGATGTGATACTCACCAATACTGTTTTTTCCACCTAATAAAATGAAACAAAGTATGGAATATACATATATTTATATACCCACCACCATAGAGCATGTGTACCATCATATATGAAATACAAGGTACAAGGTACTGATATGATTTGAATTTTGGGTGAAGATGATAAAAATGCATGTTGATGACAAGTAGCAAGGAATTTGGCTTGCTTCACAGACAGTTAGGGCTTGTTCAGGTATGCCGTAGTAAACCGCTATACAAACGCAACTGTGTTTTTATTTTATATGTAAATGAATGGCATCTGCGAGCATCGAAGGTCCTTTGCGTATGCACTGAACTCTGAGCTATAAAAAGCCTTTCATGTCGTGTCTGAACAAGGCTTTAAGGTTGGATCTGATGTGACTGCCACATAATAATATCAGGCATCGATACTATGACTAAATCATTCATACCCCTTGTAAATTTCATGTTTTTTGTGTTTTTCGTAACTCAAGAAATAAAGGTGGACTGGTTGAATTAGGGCCTTTGTTGAATGCTTTTAGATGTAAGCTTTGATATGTCACATTTTCAAGAAACATAAATTGAGACACGTCAATTTTTCACATAATTAAACAACAACAACAAAATAATTTAATTGTTAATTTAAAGCTAAAGACCAGTTATGGTCATGCGATTGCATTGTGAAAGAAACGTTGTGGAATCGATCAGAAAAGGTTGATCATCTAGCATCTAGCATCTGCAAGGTTCTGGAATCGTCAAAATGATAAGAAATTTGGCCCATTCTTCGTAAAGTTACAAGCACTATACACAGAAAGATGTATATGGGACTACCCTATATCTCTCACAGACCATGAGATAAACAAATTTACTAAATATATGAATTAGTAGGCGGTTTCCCGGCGAATTTTTTATCATCATGTATTAGTCAAAACATATTCTTTCACATGATTGGTAATGAGAGCTTCCATTTCATTTTTTGAAATTGGGGCGTTTCCAATACTGGTCTTTACCTTTAACTTAACTATAAGTATACCATAAACCATATTAGACAAAGAAGTATCTACAGTAGCACTGAATTTATTGTGTGTATGATCATGTCATTTGTACATGTGTCACCTGGTAGTGGTTTTTTAGTTCCTCATTTACAGAGTGCATTGAAATGATCAAACCAAACAGTAATGGAAGTAGCCAATTATTTTCACTTGTTATTGTTTTTCCACTTTTCCTTTTTACCAGATGAAATACCGTGACGATGTAATGCCGTGTCTATAAATTCAGATAATATTATCATGTACTGATGTAAAATTTCATTTGTTTCACTTTATATCTTATTTATATGTATGTACATGTATTTTTAAAATGTATGTTTATTAAAAAATATGTAAATATTGATTCTTATTTGAGATTTTTATTACAACCACATTGCTCATTGTTTGTATTGTGATATTATTGATAAATTTACTTATTTTTATTCCCAAATTGCTTGGGTAAAATAAAGACACATTTTTCAGTTTGTTTAGTATCATAGAATACACATGTATTTTGTAATATGTATGTACACAAAGAGGATGTGATTTTGGCAGCTGTTCTTTCATTACTGGTGAATTTTTTTTTATTGGAGTTTTGTTTAAGTTTTAAAAACATTTGTGAACATTTCATTTGTAGGGTTGATTGTTGTATTTTTTAGTTGCATAAGAATTCTGTTTAGTTATGTGTGATTCCCTTAACAAGTGATTATCATAGTTCAGATCATAATGTTCAATTCATTATTATACCTTAACTGAAAATAAGGACAAATTGTGAATATCTAAAGAAGAACAAAACAGATTTGTATTACTTTTTATAATGTTATTGTTTCAAGGCTTCTCAAATGCATTGGGGTCTTAATTTTAATTGTATTATAGTGAGAAAATCACAATTTCACTACTGTCCTTGAACAACAGTATGTATATGTATTAAAATAATAGTAAAACAGTCATGAACTGGACTACTAGTTTATTATCCTTGGGTATTCATTCCAATGCCCATATCAAGAAAATACATCAGTTTGAAATAAATCCCACCTGAAATAATTCTTATGCAGATTTTGCCAGAAGAAATTGCTTTTAATATCAAGTTATGGTGTCTGACTGAATACTTTTCTGTTTTTTCTGTATTTTTACTTTTGTGTAGTGGAATCTGAAATGTTGTGTTGAATGAACCGTCAGTACTTGTTGGAAAACAAAAATCAGATATGTTATATAGTTCTTCCTCTCCTAATTGTTGCACCTCTATTGGGTATTTGAGTTTTGTCTCTCACCTTTTTCAATGATTATAATACATTATGTTTTAAAGGAAACACATTACACAATGTTGTATCAGTATGCTTATTATGTGTAAGGAAATATGTTTGCCCTGGGAAGTGTTTCACAAAGACTAAGATCGACTTTAAGTTGGACTTAACTATAGCAGGCTGTTCATGCCACTGTTTGCTCTCACCATTTACTGGTATTGGTCTCTCAAGGGATGTACAAATCGTGGTCACAAATCTACAGAATTGACCTGTTTTGATAGTTCATTATTGAAGGAATATATATTATCTAAAGATCATAATTGAGATACCAATGATAAGAGCAACCAGTGGCATGAATGGCCTGCCATAGTTAAGTCCAACTTAAAGTCCATCTTTGTGAAACACTCCCCAGGGTCATGAAGGAGGCTTACATGTACATCATGTATCCTTCTGAAGTCAGAAGAAAAAGAAAACAAATGGTGATGGAGAGATGGGGTAAAAGCAAAGGAGATGTGAGATGGAGATCGATAAAGAGAAGGAGTAAAAGAAAAGAAAAAGATAATGAGAGAGAGAGATGTAGAAAGGATGAGGATAAAGAGATGGAGAGGGTATAGATCCATTGAGAGAGAGAGAGAGAGAGAGAGAGAGAGTGGATTTGTACTTGTGACGAATACATTTTTATGAACAAAATATTTCATTTTCAGGGCTACATCTGAAGCCGGAGACTCCCTAAGCTCTGGGGTTTTAGGCATTTAATTACGGTCAGATGCGCATCTATAGGGCCCAGCCTTAGGGCCCTTGGTGGGGTCCAGGGGGCAGAGCCCACGGAAGCTCGGGGATTTTAGGTATTTAATAACGGTCAGATGAGCATACAGGGGACCGCCTTAGGGCCTTGGTGGGGTCCAGGGGTGGAGCCCCCGTAAGCTCTGGGGTTTTTGGCATATAATTACGGTCAGATGAGCATATATTTTGACATTTGTGACATTGGCAGGTCACCTATTTTTTTCTCTCTCTCTTTCTTTCTCTGTAACAAACTTTTTCAAAAAGTGAGGGGGGCTCAAGCCCAAGAGGCCGGCCGTTCTGCAGACCCTGACATAAAGGCTTCTAAATAAGCATATTTTTCGCCCGACTGTAAATTTTGGAATTTCTAATTTTCCAACAAATGCATAAAAAGGTATGACTTACAAAAAAATTGAGAAAAAAAATACCGGAAAATCATGTCATTTCAGCAACATTTCTAAATCACTGGTATCGAATAAAAAATTACCCCCCCCCGCCCCCTCATCAGTACGCCAGCGTTCAGGGGCTCACGAGCTTCTCACCCCTATAACAAAAAACAGACACGCTTTCCCATTCTCTCACAATATGTCCACGATATACCTCCATTGATAGGTAGCATGCGCAATGTTTAGGAAATTTAATTCCTGTTAACTTTCCTCTTTTTTGAATGGAATTTTATACGTCATTTAAGTCAAGTTTTTATTATTGTTACGTTCTTTTGGGTTAAAAATACAAACCATCTTTACTCTAATACTGCTTTTTTTTTTTGAGGGGGGGGGGGGGCGTTTCGGGGTGCCAAAAATGTGTTTTGCCCCCCCCCCCCCCAGCCCCCTGCCCCCCAACTTCCGGTGTGACCGCGTAGAATGTAACCCGCACCGATCGTCCGACTATTAGAGATCGATCGAGAGCGGACGATCGGTGCGGATTTTATCCGCGCAGAATGTCCGTGTCGGACATTCCGTGCGCGCCTCAAATGTCTGACGGACAATCTGTGCTGAAGAGGTCTCGCACCAATAGTCCGCCTGCCGCACCGAATGTCCGTACTCTAGTCTACACGTATACATAGTCAAAACAAACAGGAATATACTCTCATATCCCTGATACAGATATAATTATACTTAATGAATGAAACGACTGGATAACCCATATTCAGCTTAACCAGCTAGCTAGGGATGAAACTACAGGCAGTGGCGCATCTAGTAGGGGGATTGGGGGGGGGGGGGGTTGGTGCAAATTGTTAACATTTCGAGGGCCAAACAAAAAAGGTGCTCACTACCCCCCAAGATCGCGGAGAAAGGCCTTTGCCTCTGCCTTTTCCCCTCCCTTTATCTCTTCTTTTCCTTCTTCTTTCCCTTTTCGTCATTCTCTCTTATTTTGTAATGGGGGGGGGGGGGGGGGGGACAGCTGGTAGCCAAGACCCTTTCGGCCCTTAATGATCTGCTTCTTCCCCCCCTTTTTCCCCCTTCTTCTTTCTTTCCCTTTCTCTCCTCTTTCTCTTTCCCTATTTTTCCTTCTCTCTCTCTCTCTCTTTTTTGCGGGGGGGGGGGGGGGAAAGGCCCTCCCAGCCCCATGGATCCGCGTCTGCCTTTAGGGGGTAGCTGCGCCTGTCGTCAGCTAGCTGAAAGTGTTAACAACTAAATGCACAGTGTAAGAACTAAAAGTGAACCAGGTAATCGCAGTGAGGCAAAGTGGTCTCGTGGATAAGCAACCGCCTAGTAAGTGGAAGGTATCGGGTTCGACCCCCAGCTAGTGTATTTTGTTTTAAAGCCCAAAAGACAG